GCTTCCATAGAGATGCAAAGATTTTTAAAGACGCGTATTTTCAAAGGTCTCGATTTTATGAAGTTTACTATATTGACAACTTTGTCTAGCACAGGTTTTAATGCTACTGGTAATGTTTTGGACACCAGAGATTCTCTGTGCAAAAAACAGTGATTAGATATAATATTGGCGTTTCTTTTATCGGCGAGAGTCACAAACCCTTTTAAGGAGCCTACCATTGATGGAGCACCGTCCGTACAAATTCCCATACACAACTCCCATGATATTTTCAATTGTTCGAAATAGGAAGAAATTGTGGGTAGCGTTGTTCTCAACGGCGGCGCTCAGAGTGAAATTTACACACCGATTTGATTTTACAACAAAAATTAGGTTAAAAACCAAGCTTTCAATTGATTTAAAAAAACAGTAAAAATAGGCAAAAAGGCCGATTTTTCCCCGTTTGGACTACCTATTAAAAGCATTTGTTCAGCTCAATCAGATAGAGTAAGTGAGTGAACATTAAATTTTGAGTTTCATAATTTCGCGGAGCAATTGCAACTACCTCGGTGCTCCGCGGAGCACCGGTTAAGAACCACTGCATTAGACAGCTAAAACAACGTTGATGTGTTGCGGTATATTGAATAGGCAATTTGTAATTTATCTGCAGAACGTTTAAATATTTTGAAATAATCAAATAATAAGTACAGTAAACTGAATTTCGGGCACTCTATACTTTATTTTTAAACGATTTCCTTCAGATAAAATAACATAATATTTATAATTATATGATGTCCTTTGTAAACATCTCATGTCTTCTAAATAACAGTCCCCTCTGCCCCTCTCAAGCCACGCGTTTTGGTCATTGGCAGTGCCACCCCCCCCCCCCTAAAATCTGAAATGGCCCCCCCCCCCGGGGGGGGGGGGTTGTCTGAAAGAAACACTGTACGTGCCCTATCCAGTGATCACCATGCCCATGAGTTCAGGTCGATGTCCATAGATTTAAGTGACACTTTTAGACAGTCTTAAAATTTTCAAGCGTTTTATTTTTTCTTCTGCCCACCAGCTGTAAACAACGAGTTATAGCCTACAAGTTAACCCATATTGATGATAAAGATTAATTTAAATAACAAAATAAACTAAATGGTTAATAACTGAAATCTCTATTCCACTTTTCCAATGTAAAGAAAACACAAAAATTAAATGTATTAATTTTCATTTAAATAGCGATATAATTTATTCACTTTGGATAGGGGAGCCTACTATAATAAAATTAATTTTATTATGGTTTAATGCAAAATTTTCAACTTTGTTATTTCTGTAAATTTGCATTTATGATTTATAGTTGCTTTATTCTGTGATAATTCATAGACAGGCTTATTTATTTTCATTTCAATTTTTCTTTTGACATGTCAGACACTGGTGATAGTCGTGACATGCGAGGAGTCGTAATCTCTACATTACAAATTACATTTACATTATCATTATAATTATTGTAATTTTATCATTGTCATTACATACAATTTCACCGATACAATCCTCAGATTGAGATCATCTACCTATTTTTACTATTCGGTCTATTCCGAATTCCTGGTCCATCTCCGATCATAGACCATATCCACGGCGTCACCATGAACCATAATATATGCATAATGCATAGTATAGTATAGCCATCAGCATGGGCGCCCGCAGAAAACTTTCTAGGGAGTGGGGGGGGGGGGGGGGGGGGGGGGGGAGGGACAAGTANTAATTTTAATGTAGTTTTAATTTACTGGAGCGTATTTGTATTGTGAACGAACAGACAGGACATCAGCTTAGTTACTTTCTCTTTATTTTCTCTTTACTATAATACATTTTTTGTCTAATTTTTTTTTATCCAATCAATGGGGGGGGGGGCGCAAGTGTTCCCCCCCTCCCCTACGGACACCCATGGCCATGAGGCTTAATCCTGATGAGCTTTTTAGGGGCCTTGAATAAATGTCGTCGCGCTATTTTGGCTGATTTTCAACTCCATATCCCCCATTGTCACAAAATTTAGACTCCCCCCCCCTTACCTTTTAGATTGCATTTTGTGTGGCCTTGTCCTTAGACTTAGACTACTACTATTATTAAGGCAAGGTTTAGCTATTACTACTAGTAGCACATGCCATTAGCAACATAATATAACCTAGCAACATTATATTATATTATAATTATAATGTTTAAGATTTTAACTAGCCTAGGGCTAGTCCTAGATTAATATCACAACTGCTACTGCTAGAAGTAGAACCAATGTTGCAAGTGCAAGCTGGGGTTAAGCCCATGTCAGTTAATTTTTTAATTTTTATGAGCCATTTGCATGGATAAATGATTAACACATCTAGAGTCTAGGGAGGAGGGAGCTAATATTTTTGTGATGAGGGGGAGGGGGGAGGATTAAGCAATGTGATGTCACATTTAAAGCGGAACATTATTGAAAACAGTGGCACTTAATAAAATTAAATTACAGACAATTTTTAACATTATTCTTTTATAAACGTACAAGTAGAGCAGTTATAATTATTTAATTTTTTAACTATGATCACTGAGAAAAATGGTCTCTGATCAAGTTATAGGACGCCGTTGAGGAGGAGAATCAAAGTGTAGTGACATTGAAAGTTTTGAGAATTTATGTCAAAATATGGAGATTGGAGACATATAATTAGGGCTACCATGTGTAGTGAGATGGAATGAAAAAATCATTGGCGGTTTGAGGGGGATGTGATCTTAGTACATGTTCTAGGGCAAGGATTCTTACCTTTTTCCCCTCTCAATTTCAAAACAATTCATCTCAACCCACCTGCATAAATTATATAGTAACGAAATTGTAAAAATTAAAACAATAAAACTATTTAGTTATTGATTATTGTAGTTTTATTTCTTTAATTATCTTTCTAGAAATAAAAAAGAAAAATAAACAATTCAAGTAATACGCAAACAAAATACATAGGAAAAAACATTTACTGCTGCAAATCAAAATGCTTAAAAACTGATTTTTTTTGTTAAAGGCAGCAACAACTAGCAATGGCAGCAATTACAATCTTTCTTGGTCTTCTTCTGGCTATTGCTGAAAATTTTCATCATTTTGTTCTGCACCTCATGGTGAGCATTTCTCATTAGATAATTTACATAATGAAATACAGAGTACTTGTTTGACACTACACTCATTTTTTACCCCCTCCCCTGATCATCACAAAAAGCTAGACCCCCCCACTAATATAACATCACAAACCTCTACACCCCCACCTATAACAAAATCTCTGTGTTCTCTACTTTCCTTTAAAAACCCTTAAAAAAGTAATCTCCCATTGATATCAAATGACTTCACTTGTGTCTGTGTGACATCATTTATGGATGGCCCTTAAAAGAGTACTAAGTATTTCATGATGTACATTATCTTATGAGCATTGCTCACCTGGAGGACAGAACAAAATGTTTCAGAGATAGCCTAAAAGGGTTCCTCAAATCATGGGAAACACATGCTTTAAACTATCACTTCATGAACACTTGATGCATAATAGACCATAAGGACCAGCATCTGACATTACTAGAGAAAGATTTTGTTTAACATAGAATGTCCAACATAGCTTTTAATTATTTACAGTTTGTTTATACTTATATTTAAGCTCAATGCTCTAAATTTATTAAGGTATAATGTCATTGATATGGCTGTTCCTGAAAATTATGTCAATTTTCAAACAATTCAACAAGCTGCTGTAAAAGATGATGTTCATTTTTTCATTGAAAAAGATTCATTTATATCGGCTCATCATTTTAAGTCGCAGGACACTATTTTACATATTGCCTGCAGATATGGGAGTGAAAAGGTTGTAAAATACATCGTAAATAAGTATCCAAATTATATAGAATCAAGTAATAATGATGGAAAGAGGCCGCTTCATGTTGCTGCCCAGAACTCACAAGAAGGTTGTGTACAGATTCTACTTGAACATAATGCTGAAATTGATCCTTTGAAAAAAGCAGATTGGTGAGTGTTTTGACCAGACCATCTATAGTTTCTAGTAAAGTATGAAATAGTGTAAGTCAGTGGTGTTCTACATTTTTTTGGGCTGAAAAATAAATTAAAGTTTATAGTAAGTAGGCCTAAGGAAAACCTAGTTATAATTTTTTATATTTTTGTTTAAGTCAAGTAGTTTGACCATCTTTGTTCTTGTCTTTTGTGTTAAAATATTTAATTTAAAATGATAATCCATTCAATTTTAAAAAATCTTTTTGTATTGTGAACTTTAAAAAAATCCCATATCGGCCTACAATATCAACATTCAGAGGGGTAGTGGCATTATCACAATGAAATTATAATAATGATAATCATTGATATAATTATAATTATTTTTATCCCTAAAAAATCAAATATTAACATCCCCATGTGATTTCAATCTCTTTAATCTCACAAAAAAATCCATCTTATATAAAAAATTGTGCATATTATCATTGAAGTATATATTTTTGTTACACAATTGACTGTATTCTAAGGACTGCATCCAAGTTATTTGTGAGATGGATGAAAACATATGACTCAAAAACTATTGTAAAACATTTAGTTAAATAAATTTCAAAATCTTGCGACACACTATGACCGATTTGGCATTTTGGGACTGCCCTGTTCATCCACAGTGTCACAACACAGTTAAAATCAATTTTGATAATTACATGCATTTATTTAAAAATTTGAACTTAATTTTTTTTGTTTTAATTAAATTTTATCCCCCATTTATTTTGTTTTATTATTGGTTTTTAAAATGTATCTTTCCAATGGGGCAGTGTACCTCACTTCAGCTAATAGTACTAATATGAGAATTTTGGTAAATGAGGTTAAGTCAAAAGTGGACACATAATTTCAATATCAAATATCACATAATGTTACAAAATGTTATGATAAAGCCAATATATAGTATTTTCACATTTATAATAATACAGACATTTTTATCCCATCTTATCCTATCACCAGTTATTTATATTCTTACTTCTATTTAAATATTAACAGGACACCATTGATGCTTGCGTGCACTAAAAAGTCAGAACAGATCATCAAGCTGTTGTTGATTGCAGGTGCTGATCCAAGTTTGAGAAATAAAGATGGTTGGAATTCTTTTCACATAGCTTGCAGGTATAGCTTACTTATTTTATTCAGTAACTATGAGATTCATTGCAGATGGGGTAATATTTAAACTATGATTGAGCTTACTTTGATGCTCACAAGAGTAAATGTTTTATTTCCGGTATTTAACTTTATTTATCTTTCCAATCAAGAGAAGGTCACCTGCCTGTTATAGTCTGTTTACTGAAACATGCAACAAGTGTTTGGCAAACAAGAAGCAACAATATGAGAAGTCCATTACACACTGCAGGTAGAGCATATTATTATGTAGGCTTGAAATTAGATGAATATCAACTGTTCTGATATTGAGTTGTTTCCTTTCATTTAAGTTTGTTTTTTCAATATTTTCTATATGGGTACCAGCATTTAATTTTAAAAAAATTTTGCCTTCTTTTCAAACTCAACTTTAATACCGGGATTAAGTACCCTACAAATACCTTGCTACAGGTCTCTATTCTTATTTCAACAATCTTACCATTTCTTCTTTTTTTTTTTTTTAAATTAACATCATACACCTCTTGCTTTAAATATTTCAAATTTTTCATCTTTATCTAAAATTTGTATGATTTGATTTAAGGAAAAAACTCAACTACCACTCTTATATTCATGCATCTTTATTGGGCACCTTATGAAACAAGAATGTAATTACAAAAATTATCTCCACGTTATTTTATCCTCTTTGATCAATCTAGTTCTAGAAACATTATTTCATCACTAAACCATTTAAAATTATTACAATAAATCAATGATATATTTTACCGTTAGCCCAGTTGTTTTCTACTCTTGGAATTATTTCAGCACTTCATGGTAAGACAGACACAGTGCTTTATCTGGTTCAACACTGTGGATACAAACCAGATGAGCGAGACAGTTGTGGTGTCACCCCTTTAATGGATGCTTTAAGAGCTGGGCACCTCGATGCCGCCAACTTTTTAATTGACTATCACAAGGTATCATTCCCTATATTGGTTAAGAAAGTACACTGTTTTTTTTGTGTTGTTGTTATGCACACAACAGTTCTAATGCAAGATCTAAGATAAGATTAGTACCCTAACAGTAAATGTCCGTTATCTAACTTTAACATGTCCTTGCATGCAACAAGCTAATTCACATTACTTTTGTGTTATTTGCATGTTGTTTTTTTTTTTTTTTCAATTTAATAATTATTCTAATTTGATCTTTAAATATCTGTCTTTTTTTTCAATAAATAATTTGTTGTTGGGGGAGGGTTAAAAGGCTACATTTTAAGTTTAAAAAAAAATTAGTTGGTTCCACTGATTGTTTATACAAATTTTTGAACACACATCTTTTGTTATTTGCTGTTAGGCTGATGTAAGTTTGGAGGATAAAGTCGGAAGGCAGCCCATTCACCTTGTCGCCCAGTCAGGCCAGGTCCTGGCACTTGAATTCATTGTTTCACTTGGCCTATCAGTTAATGTCAGGTCAAGTGGGAAGGGGGAGACCCCTCTACATCTTGCCGCTAAGGTTAACCTCACCACCTTGCTAAAGTAAAACTACTTTAATTATTTGATCATATCACTTGATTACTTATACAATTTTATTTGTTAATCATTTGAATTGCATTCTGAATAAAATATATTTTGTAGGTGTTTTATTACATTATTTATTTTATTGTTGCTTTATTTAGGAAGGCCACGATAACATGGCATTAAAATTGTTGCAAACTGGAGCAGAAATTGATGCCCAGGACACAACAGGTCGGACAGGTCAGTTAATCTCTTGATCAAGAACTAAAAATTTCTCATCAAACAATCATTATTTAATTGAGTATTTGCTTTGGCGTTTTGTAAAAAATTATAACTCCTCGAGTTTTTATTAAGTTAAACAAAACAGTAAGAGTAGACAAAATTTATCCATCAGTAAGCTTTAACAGGAAAAACAAAATTTAAATTGTCAATTAAAACTTGCTTCCACTTTGCAGCACTTCACTACGCCACTGCGGCACAGCACGGTGATATGATCACAGTGTTACATAGTTACAGTGCCAAGTCACTGAAAGACAATTGTGGTAGATTACCAGAAAATCTCAGCAGCAGAGAGATTGTGAAGGACAGCTGTATGACAAAGTTTACACCAGGTGTCCAGACCGAGGCCCCTAATTTATTGTTTTAGTATGACAATAGGTATAAAACAAATGAAAATGATCATTTAAATTTTTATTGAAGCCTCATTTTGATAGAGTGCTAGCAAGAACTAGTAAAACTAAACTGAAAACATTGGACTTGTTCACACACTAATGGGATCATATTTCTACATCGGGCATAAAAATAATTCTCAGTTAAAAAAGAATATTATCATTGTACAGATTTATCATTGAAGTTATTTAATTTTCATGACTGTGACAACATTACGTAATATTTAATAAAAAGCTAAAATGTTAAAATAGCGTTTTACTCTTAACAGTTAGTTGTTAACTGTTGAGACCCGCATGTTAGAAATGCAGGACAGCGTCCCTGTAATCAATATAAAAGGCACCCCCAATCATGTATGGGCCTCTTTCACCTGAAGTCTGTCAGTAGAGCCTGGCTGGCATAATCAGTTGATGAAGTGTGTTTAGCAATATAATCATACCCTAGACAGAGCCTTAGTGGATGTACTAATCTAACGTATAAGAAGGGACCTTTGTTTCTACAAAATAAACATTGAATATTATTCGTAGTCGAAGTTGTAACATTTGGGGCAAATATTTTAACATTTGGGGGCTCTATTATTTGTGTACTGTAAAACCCCGAATACATATAATGTAACATTTGGTGGCCCGTCTAAACTAATACGTAGATTAGTAAAAAGGCAATTTCATGACAAGTTAATTTAATGTCATATATTATTGTAAATTAGATTGTATTTTAAAGTTATAGCTTTAAGTTAGTTTGCATTTTTTCACTTTATTGTTACTTTATCTTTTATGAAATAGTCTTTTGGTGCAAATGGTGTTGTTCAATTGAGAGAGTATTGTTATTAATTAACAGTTATCGTTCAGTCATTGTGTAAACCTTCTCTCCCCATATTTCTTTGATACACACCAGGGCGAAAACACTGTCCTCTTGCTTACAACTAGTACCAGTTTCCACGCTGTACGTCAGGAATCTAGGTCAAGGTTGTGTCTTCCTTTTCTGATTGCATCACCAGCATCATTTGATTGTGGATCAAGTCGGCGGAAGGTTTAAATTGTATTTTTCATCTTTGTCCGCTCATGGGTCCACCACACCATTTGGGTTAATTTTATTATTCCTTTATTGTTTTTCTATGTTATCTCCAAGGAGGGGTGTAGCATTTTCAGTTTATTTTCTTATTGAAAAGTTAGTTTAAATGCTCCCAGTTCTATTAGTTTCGCTAGATTTATGTAGGTAAAATTCGTTTGCCCGTAAGAGTGATAAAGTTAATGGGGATTTTACTCTATATAGTTCTTGCTAAGTGTTAGTCGTGGTGTCAGTTTTGTTTCAAGGGGTGTTAAGTTACGTGGGGTCTACTATCTTCTCTTGTCTTTATGTTTCTAGATAACAAAACATTTTTTCAGCCCTTGTCTTGTCTCATCATGTTTGTAGGGAATTGTCAGGGGACAGTGTTATTGTTTTGTCAAGTCTTGCATTTACAGTTGTTTTGTATACGTTTATTGCCAATAGTTTTATCTTGTTCTTTGTATATTTGCTTTGTAGATATACCGGGTATAGTGAAACTGTATAGTCATTTTGCCTTATTACAACGGCAATGAAGTCGATTCCAGAGCTTAAAGATGAAGCCACCAAAATGGGGCTATCAGGGAAAGACATAAGAAGTTATGTCAGTGATCAGAAATCAAAACAAGAAGAACGAGCCGAAAGATTACGTCAGGAAGAAAGGCAAGAAAAAATGTGTCAGGAATAAAGAGACTTAGATTTGAGGAAATTAGAGTTAGAGTCAGAAGAAAAGGAAAGAGAGCGACAGCACCTACTCGCTTTAGCACAAACTGGCATTAAGGATGACAGTAGAACAGATACAGACACTCCTAGGTTAAATTTTAGAGACAGATTAGATAGGAATTTACCCAATTACCATGACACAGAAGACTTAGACAGCTATTTGTTGTCCTTCGAAATAACATCTGAGCGGTGTGGTATACCTCAGTAGACAGACCATCTTCATACAAAGTTATCCCCTAAACTAAGACAATTTATGACCACATAGGACATACTAAGCAAACGGACTGACTACGACCTGATCAAGACATTACTCCTACGACAAGCGGGCTATAACAACGAGACGTATACGATCAAATGGAACACTTTAGCCCCAGTACAAGACGATTTTCGAACATTTCACTCAAACCTGTTGAGAACGTTAGACAAGTGGTTAGACACTACTGACACACCTAAAACATTTGAAGGTCTCAAGGAACTCCTTTGCTTAAACAAGCTGTATTAAATGTTAACACCAACTCACTCAAAACTATTTTGCTAAAAGAACCTAAAACCTGCACAGAAATTTTGACCCACATAGATATGCTAAAATCTATAAATGACAGTAGGATTGCAAAACAAGTTACTCATAAGACATTCCCTGTAGTGGATGATGCGGCCGCAAATTCTCCCCAGTCGTACAATAGACACACAACTAGGTCAGTACCGCAGCATTCCGATGACGTAATATGCTACGCATGCCACAGACCAGGTCATCTTGCCAATGTGTGCTCCACGCTTAAATCAAAGACACTTTAGGAATTTAGAAATTTTAGACAATCCATTGCCTCAAACAACCCTACATTTCGGAACCCCGGAGGGTACAGATATGGACAAACAAACAGAGGAGTACCGGTTGGACAGTATGACGGATTTAAACGAGGTAGAGATAGGCAGAGACAGTCTAGAAAAATCTGATTGAATAAGATCAACAGTGATTGCGTTGCACACTGTAATGCTTGTAAAGTTAGCGTAGAAAAGGCAGAATTCCCCGTCCCATGTAGATTAGAGACATTCAATAGTTTAGAAGCGAACAGCCAACTCCGTAATAAATCGCTAGGTAGATTAACGTTTGAAGAAGGATTTTTAATAGGGAAGAAGTTAACAGTACTTAGGGACACAGGCTGTAGTATAATAGGATGTAGGAAGTCTTTAGTGCCTAAAAATAGATGGTCACGAGAAAAATTTGCTTTAAAATTGATAGATGGGACAGTCCGACGTTTTCCCTCTGGTTATGTCCACATAAACACGCCTAACATTACAGGCAAATTCTTAGTGGCATTGTTCAATGACCCAGTCACTGATGTAATAATAGGAAATGTAGGTCAAGCGTGCCAATCTTGTTTACATGCATTAGCCGTAACGCGTGCAGCGTCCAGGCAAAGTAAACAAACACAGCCTTTAACCCCACCAGGTTATACAGTAGCTATTAATAGTTGCAATTTCAGAGCAGTTAGCGGATCCAGAACTAAAACATCTATGGGAAAAGGCGAAATTAGGCACTCAAGAAATAAAAAGGACAGGGTCTATTTCGTTTCAAGAGACCGATGGGCTCTTGTACAGGATATTTACATATCATTCAGACCTGACTAAAACAGATTGTAAATTAGTAGTCCCTAAATCTAAAAAGAATGTAGTATTAGAAGCAGCCCATTCTACTCCATTAGCAGTAAATATGTCCCTTCGTAGAACTAGATATAGAGTCTATTCAGAATTTTTTTGGCCACGCGTAGACAAAGATATTAAAGCCTTTGTTAGATCTTGTCCTACGTGACAGTTAGAAAGATAGAATAAAGAACAATGGACATTGTAGGTACTCTATTCACTAAAGTAGCCATAGATATCATAGGTCCACTACAAATGACAGATAGGAAAAATAGTTATATTTTTAACATTAGTTGACACCGCCACGCGATGGCCAGAGGCAACAGCTTTGAAAAACATAATGACAGAGGACATTCAAGAAGGACTGTTCGCAATTTTTTATAGAGTAGGTTTCCCTCACACTAAACTGTCAGATAACGGTCCCCAATTCCATTCCGAAATGTACCATCAAGTATGTCAATTTTTCAACATTCATCCGACAAAATCTTCAATTTATCACCCTCAGTCAAATGGCATAGTTGAAAGATTTAATGGCACAATAAAGACTATTTTGAGGAAATCAGCAGAAAATGAACCCCAGAATTGGGATAGATTCATATCAGCTGCATTATTTGCATATAGAGAAATTCCTAATGAAACGACAGGTATATCTCCATATGAACTTGTTTTTGGTAGGAAAGTACATGGTCCCATGGCTATATTAAAACAACTTTTTACAGACAAATCTGTCGAGGAGGATCAGAAACCAGTCTATAAATATTTGATAGATCTTAAAAACAGATTACAGGTAGCGACAGAATCAGCATTGACACATTCCCAAATTAAGAAAGCTAGTGCCAAGAAATATTATGACAGAAATGCCAAAGAGAAAGACATTAAGAAAGGTGATCACGTTTTGATTCTAAAACCAAAAAAGGGCAATAAGTTGATGCTCCAATGGGAAGGTCCATTTATAGTGGACAAAAAGATATGAAAATTTAATGTCAGAGTTAGGAAAGGTAATGCAGTTAAAACTTACCACATGAATAGAATGTGTAAATTTCATAATAGGGAAAATGTCACCCTACCCAGCACTCAAGCACCTGAAACTCAAAACCATATTTTGAGCGGGTCATTAGCGTCAGTAATTACTGAGACGGATGACTATGATGACAATGAAGATATTCCAGACTCAGACCTAGGTAATGTGCCAACACTGGAGTCGAGCACAGAAAAAGTAAACAAAATTTGTTTTAATCCTGAATTATCGGATTGTCAGAGGGAACAGCTCAAAAGTTTACTTCAAGGATTTGAATCAGTTATAGCAGATAGCCTGGATAAGACTAATATAGACCATCATAGCATAGAATTAACATCAGATAAACCTATTACTCTCAGGCCTTATGCTATCCCATATAACCTTCAAGATGTCTTAGCCAAAGAAATAGTTATTGTTAAAATTAGATATTATAGAGGAGTCAAATTCACCTTACGCTTCACATGTAGTGTTAGTTAAAAAGAAAGATGGCACAATCAGAACTTGTGTAGACTATAGAAAGCTAAATGCAATCACTAAATTGGTAGCTGAGGTTG